TTATTTCTTATGCCTGCCTAATTGGATACAAAATTGTACAAGAAAATTGTATAATGTATGGCCAGCCTTAAATAGTTTGCTGAATCAGGAAGAGAAGTAATCGTGGCGCATGATGAAAAAGCAATATGCACCCGTGTTTTTGATGTAAAATAGCTAGACATGTGCGGGTTGTGTCATTCCAAACCAAAATTCGACAAGTTTTTCATTATTCAGATATTGGGATGTATCCAAATTTCCAAATTGCCAGAACAGACTAAAATAGAACAGAAAATAAAGGAATAGAATATAATAGAACAGAAAAGAATAAAATAGAATAGAAAATAAAATAATAGAATAGATAGGAATAGAGTAAAACGGAACAGAAAAGAATAGAAGATACAAGAATAGAATAAAATAGAATAGAAAATAAGTGAATAGAATAGAAATTAAAAGAATAGAATTTAATAGAATAAAAAATAAGGGAATAGAATAAAAAATAAAATAATGGAATAGAATAGAATAAAATAGAATAATAAATTAAGGAATAGAATAGAAATTAAAAGAATAAACTATAATAGAATAGAAATAAGGGAACAGAATAGAAAATAAAAGAACGGAATAAAAGAACAGAATACAATATAACAGAAAACAATAGAGTAAACAAGAGTAAAAAGAAAAGACTAGAAAATAAAAAATAAAATAAAATAATAGAATAAAATAGAATAAAAATAAGGGAATAGAATAAAAAAGAATATAATAGAAAAAAAAATAGAATAGAATATAGCTGCCTGCCAAAATTTTAATTTGAAAAAGAATAAAATAGAATAAAAAAAGGATAGAATCAAAAAGCATAAAGTACAACAGAACAGAATAGAATAGAAAATAAAAGTATAGAATATAACAGAATAAAAAAAATAAAGGGATAGAAAAGAATAGATTAGAAAAGAATAGAAAATAAAAGAACAAAACAGAAAAGAATAGAATAGAAAAACAATACAATAGAATAGATTGCAATAGAAAGAATAAAACCGTTTTCCAAAATTCCCATTTTCTGAATCTAATTTAATTCAACCAAATTTGGGAAAATTCTAATTGTATTCAAAAATGAATAAATGAAACAAAGCTAAATAAATGTAACAAATTTAACGAAACAAAATTATTTACATTAGAAATCAAAACAAAAACTAAACACATTTTTTCTTTCTGCACATTTCTGAAAATAAGCTCAATACAATTCCCAGCAACTGCTAGTGGGTGTATTCCCTTACAAAATCAAAAATGTCAAAATTGATAGCAGCACCAATAACCAACATGGTCAGAAAGATAGAGTGCCACTGTGTTACAACTGCCAAAATCTTTTATTATTATCATATACAAATTAATAAAAATAAAGTGTTAAAGTGTAAGCAATCAAATCTTTGTAAATAAAATAATTGCCCCTATTCTTGTCCAGTACTCACAAACAATAATTATGTGTACATTAAACAAATATCGGAAAATTAATCCACATTAAAATCATAATTTTTGTATTGTCCACAGTTCTCGTGCCAATAAAGTGCCAAATAAAGGGGCAGAGCCTTGGGATGTGACATCCGCTCCCTCTACAGGCTGCACGAGTCAATCTGGGTGCCAGGGTACATGCACGTATCAATGAGTGCACATTTTAATTGTGGCATTTAAGTTTAGTAAATCATTTAATGCAGAACTCTTCCGGGTTGGTGTTTTCCATGTTGGAGTGAGGTGGAGAATACTTTGATATATCCTTGTGGTTCCTTCCTGGTTGGTTCATTTACAAGAGCAGATGAAGAGAATCTGTGGAGGGGAGCAACCTATTTGGAGAGAAAGCTATACATCCAACAGCGCTCATTGACCTTCCTATTATAAGGGGTCAGTGAATGATTTACAGTAAAGGGTGGCACCAGCACTGAAGCATAAAAGTTGTCTTTACACACAGGATTTTTTTTTAAAGCTGTCACAACTTTTCCCTTTATTTGGCACCTTATTGGCAAGGGAACTGTGGACAATACAATGATTTTTTCCCTGGTTAGACATGTGGTTTGTTTCACTCTTCGGAGATTCAAATTTATCCATCTGCATGCAAGTTCCAGGAAAAAAAGTAGAGCATTTTTTCTGCACTGAACTATACTGGAACATGGTAAAATGCAACTGAATGCACCTAAATGCACCGGCAATGCACCAGAATGCACATGTCCTTATTTTTGTTGAAGAAAAAGAGAGGGGGGGAAAATGAACCACAATGCATAAAAAATGCATCAAAAACACATAAAAAACGAGCATGCAGGAAAGCATCTGGAACACATCCGGACTCTGTTTCTATGGTGTTTACCAGCCCTTACTGTAGATTGTGACAGATGCCTGTCACCCTTATTGGGTGACTCCGTCAGAAAAGCGCTTCCTCGCCACTGGGACACAAGAAAAATGTAATCTAGCCGGCATTACACCCAAGACTAGTCGATAGTAGCTTAGATGCAGAACTACAGGTTTTTATACACTTCACAAATAGCGGCAGTCCCCGCATGAACAATAACCACAAATAGTAAACATTAGGATTTTATACACTTCACAAATAGCGGCAGTCCCCACATGAACAATAACCACAAATAGTATACATTTGGATTTTATACACTTCACAAATAGCGGCAGTCCCCGCATGAACAATAACCACAAATAGTAAACATTAGGATTTTATACACTTCACAAATAGCGGCAGTCCCCACATAAACAATAACCACAAATAGTATACATTTGGATTTTATACACTTCACAAATAGCGGCAGTCCCCACATAAACAATAACCACAAATAGTATACATTTGGATTTTATACACTTCACAAATAGCGGCAGTCCCCACATGAGCAATAACCACAAATAGTAAACATTAGGATTTTATACACTTCACAAATAGCAGCAGTCCCCACATGAACAATAACCACAAATAGTCTGATAGCTTCACCTCTTTATTTAACACCTCCCGCCCGCCATATAGTTACAGTCATGGCCGAAATTGTTGGCACCCTTGATATTTTTCCTGAAAATCAAGTATTTCACACAAAAAAGGTATTTTGTTTTGCTATACACATGTTTATTCCCTTTGTATGTATTGGAACAAATATAAAACAGAGGCAGAAAAGCAAATATGACATAATGTCACACAAAACCCCAAAAATGGGCTGGACAAAAGTATTGGCACCCTTAACCTAATATTTGGTTGCACACCCTTTGGAAAACATAACTGAAATCAGTCGCTTCCTATAACCATCAATAAGCTTCTGACACCTCTCACCCGGAATTTTGGACCACTCTTCCTTTGCAAACAGCTCCAGGTCTCTCTTATTGGAAGGACACCTTTTCCCAACAGCAATTTTAAGATCTCTCCACAGGTGTTCAATGGGATTTAGATCTGGGCTCATTGCTGGCCACTTCAGAACTCTCCAGCGCTTCTTTGCCATCCATTTCTGAGTGCTTTTTGACGTATGTTTGGGGTCATTGTCCACTGGAAGACCCAGGATCTTGGACGCAAACCCAGCTTTCTGACACTGGGCCCTACAGTGCGACCCAAAATCCTTTGGTAATCCTCAGATTTCATGATGCCTTGCACACAGTCAAGGCACCCAGTGCCAGAGGCAGCAAAACAACCCCAAAACATCATTGAACCTCCACCATATTTTACCGTAGGTACTGTGTTTTGTTCTTTGTAGGCCTCATTCTCCGTTTTCGGTAAACAGTAGAATGATGTGCTTTACCGAAAAGCTCTATCTTGGTCTCATCTGTCCACAAGACGTTTTCCCAGAAGGCTTTTGGCTTACTCAAGTACATTTTGGCAAACTGTAGTCTTGCTTTTTTATGTCTCTGTGTCAGCAGTGGGGTCCTCCTGGGTCTCCTGCCATAGCGTTTCATTTCATTTAAATGTCGACGGATAGTTCGCGCTGACACTGATGCTCCCTGAGCCTGCAGGACAGCTTGAATGTCTTTGGAACATGTTTGGGGCTGCTTATCCACCATCCGGACTATTCTGCGTTGCAATCTTTCATCAATTTTCCTCATCCGTCCACGACCAGGGAGATTAGCTACAGTGCCATGGGTTGCAAACTTCTTGATAATGTTGCGCACTGTGGACAAAGGCAAATCTAGTTCTCTGGAGATGGACTTGTAACCTTGAGATTGTTGATATTTTGCCACAATTTTGGTTCTCAGGTCCTCAGACAGTTCTCGTCTCCTCTTTCTGTTGTCCATGCTTAGTGTGGCACAGACAGACACACAATGCAAAGGTTAAGTGAACGTCTCTCCTTTTTATCTGCTTTCAGGTGTGATTTCTATATTGCCCACACCTGTTACTTGCCCCAGGTGAGTTTACAGGAGCATCACATGCTTGTAACATTCTTATTTATCCGCAGTTGTGAAAGGGTGCCAATACTTTTGTCCAGCCCATTTTTGGAGGTTTGTGTGACATTATGTCGAATTTGCTTTCTTTCCTCCCTTTTTTTGTTTTGTCCCAATACACACAAAGGGAATAAACATGTGTATAGCAAAACATGTGTTAATGCAATACGTTTCGTGAGAAATACATGATTTCCTGGAGAAATATCAAGGGTGCCAACAATTTCGGCCATGACTGTATATGACGGATGCAAGGTGGTTCTCTCATTCTGGGATGACGTCATATGACATCCTCCCATTCTCACTGCGTGTGCGCGGCTCCCGGAGCGTGCAGCGTGGTGATTGGCGGTGCGCTGTGTCCCTCGGAAGCAGCGGATCACTGATCCACGGAAAGAGCCGAAGATGTCGGCTAGGTCATGTGATCAGCTGTGTCCAATCACAGCTGATCACATGTAAACAGGGAAATGCCAGTTATCGGCATTTCTCTCCTCACGATCTGTCACGCTGACAGCTCGAGAGGAGAGGAGAGCTGGTAATTGGCATTTCTCGGAGGGGACATGTACACAGATCATCAGGGCACTGATGATCAGTGTGCCCTGATGATCTGTGTAGCCCCAGCAGCGCCACTTGTCAGTGTCCATCAGTGCCAGGTCTCAGTGCTCATCCATGCCACCTGCCAGTGCCCCATCAGTGCCACATTTCAGTGCCCATCAGTGCCACATTTCAGTGCCCATCTGAGCTGCCTTTCAGTGTCACCCATCAGTGCCAGTCAGTGCCACCTACCAATGCCAGTCTGTGCGACCTATCAGTGCTGCCAATCAGTGCCGCCTATCAGTGTCAGTCAGTGCTGCCTATCACTGCCAGTTAGTGCCGCCTATCAGTGTCCATCAGTGCCGTCTATCAGTGCCTGTCAGTGTTACCTATCAGTGCCGCCTATCAGTGCCAGTCAGTGCCGCCTATCAGTGCCATATATGAGTGCTTCCTTTCAGTGCCCATCAGTGATGTCTGCCAATGCCCATCAGTGCCTCCTCATCAGTGCACATCAGTGCCACCTATCAGTGTCCATCAGTGCATTCTATCAATGCCCATCATTGCAGCCTCATTAGCGCACATCAGTGAAGGAGAAAAATCACTTATTTACTAAATTTTATAACAAAAACTAAGAAAAAAAAGTTTTTTTCAAACTTTTCATTGGTTTTTGGTTTAAGAAAAAATAAAAAACCCAGAGGTGATTAAATACCACCAAAATAAATCTCTATCTGTCCAAAAAAGGAAAAAAATGTCATATGGGTACAGTGTTGCATGACCGCGCAATTGTCATTCAAAGTGTGACAGCGCTGAAAGCTGGAAATTGGCCTGGACAGGAAGGGGGTATTAGTGCCCTGTAGGCTAGTGGTTAATCTGATCATGTAAGCACCTCCAGGGACTAGCCAATAGACAGGAGCAATAGGTGACTCAATCAATAATGGAATGCACACCTAGGAGGCACACAATGGGAGTAAATACATAATACCTTATTAAACATTACATGGAGTCCTCAGAATCAGGTTTGTTTTGAGCTGATTATATTAACATTTTCTTGACTTGAATACGAATTAAACTGCTCCAAAGGTCCCCCCCAGGCACACACCAAAGAGCAGAGCCCCCTCAGATGCCAGGGCCATGGTCAGTAGGCAAGAGGCTAGTCTGCAGTCCCCTCCAAAAGCTCCTTTCCCGGTTGGGTCTGTCACATGGATTATTTTTGAATATTTGTTTATTGCACACATAATTATTGTTTGTAAGTACTGGACAAGAATAGGGGCAATTATTTTATTTATAAAGGTTTGATTGCTTACACTGTATTATTTATTTGTATATGACAATAATAGAAGATGCTGACAGTTATAGCACAGTGGCCCTTTATGTTACTGAGCAATTTAGTTATTAGTGCCGCTATCATGTTTTCTTCTTCACAGTGCATGATGATTTGATTGATGGGCAGATCTCTTGGAGAGAGGTCGGTCAATCTATGGTCAGCTGTTATAAGTAGGCAACAAACATCTTGTAAATATAAAAATACAATGTAAATGATTCATTATTATTTATCTTTTGTTAGCAGCTGCCTCGGTTATCTGAAAATAGGAACACATTCTTCCATTCTTTTACAATGCTGAATTCATTGTGTCACAGCTTGTTTTAATGTAAGGCTTCTGGAGTCCCCCATCTATCTCTGTCACAGTTAATTGTTACCTATGGTTTTGTTTCCTAACTCAGTATTGTTCTTAGCAGGCAGCATGGTGCCAGAAGGCTATCATTATTTGTTAGGTGACATAATATTAGCCTGACATCCCTAGATCTATCTAGAGGACTGGTGCAAGGCAATTTATTGTCAGAAAGTTTGTTGAAGACACATACAGTACTTCTTTATAACAATAGTAAAAGATATGTGCAAATGGTATTATGCAACAACAAACTGGATGTATGCAGGGTATTCCTTTTCTAGTACTGTATTGCAAAGGGAAAAGCAAAAAATTCTTTTGAAATTAAAATCGTTCTAAAGGCTATTTATTTTCTTTAAAATAATAAACACATCATACTTACCTGCTCTGTGCAATTGTTTTGCACAGAGCAGCCTAGATCCTTCTCTTCTGGGGTCCCACCTGTTGATCCTGCCAGGAATCCAGTTAGCTCCAAATGATTTGCACTTCCAAGTAGCTATTGGCAGCTAGGGATGTTAATCACCGGGTCCCGGCAGGCGATTCCTGGTCAGCACTTGGCGATCGTTGCGCAAAGCTGACAGGGGAGAGACCTGTGTGTAAACAACATAGTTCTCTCCCCTGTCAGCATGGACAATAAGGCATCTGCTACACTACCTATATTTTCCCTTAACCACACCTCCCCCTTGAGTTATGAGGATGAGGAGAGTGGGGGGTGTATTATAGTCCAAGAGAGCTGGAGAGGGTTGACATCACAGGCCATGATTTCAGTGCAGCAGAGGAAGCGTTTTGTGTTTCTGGAAGATTTAACAAATATATGTCTGTACTGTATATTCAAAATGTTTAGAGATAAAACTGTCAAAAAGCATGTAATGCAAAGATATAATGTATATACAGTGCTCAGTATAAATGAATACACCCCAACAGATTTGTCAGAAAACCTTTACTTTCCTTTCAGAATCAACATTTTTTATGGGACACTTTACTACAAAATACTCCCTCAAATGCAGGTCATTGCTTGCAAACAAGATTGTTAATTTGCACACAAAAAACAGTATTTTTCCTAACAAATTCATTCAATGTTCCATGTTGCAAAAATGAATACACCCCAATGAAAGTCTTAGGAGAAAAGCTAGATTTTAGACAACAAAATCCTAATTAACCACTTGCCCTCCAGAGGATTTACCCCGCTTCCTGACCAGGCCATTTTTTGCGATACGGCGCTGCGTTTAACTGACAATTGTGCGGTCAGGCAACATTGTCCATAAATTAAATTTATGTCATTTTTTTTCCCCACAAATAGAGCTTTCTTTTGGTGGTATTTGATCACCTCTGCGGTTTTTATTTTTTGCGCTATAAACAAAAAAGACTGACCATTTTGAAAAAAAAACCCAATATTTTTTGCTTTGTGCTATAAAACATATCTAATTAAAAATATTTAAAAAGACACATTTCTTCATAAATTTATGCCAAAATGTATTCTGCTACATGTCTTTGCTAAAAATAAATCCCCAATACGTGCAAATTAATTGGTTTACGTGAAAGTTATAGCATCTACAAATGGAAGTATATATACTGGAATTTTAATTTTTTTATACTAGTAATGGCAATGATCAGTGACTTATAGTGGGACTGCAGGACTGCGGCGGGCATTCTGACACTGGGTGGGAACTGACTAACTGCCACTGACATCCCCAGTGAAAGTGATCAGTGCTAATAAAAAGCAATGACACTGTACTAATGACACTGAGCATGAAGGGGTTAACAGTGTGCTGTGTGTGTTTTTACTATGTGCACTGTGTTGTATTTTACTTTGGAGACATGCTGTTTTGTATCTCTCTGCTGAGAGATACAAAGCAGCATGTCCATGCTGACAGGAGAGAGACCTGTGTTGTTTACACACAGGTATCTCCCCTGTCAGCTTTGCCGGCACCCTGTGATTGACATCCCTAGCTGCTAATACGTGATTTTGTGCAGCCATGTCGCCCTGTAGCAGTACTTCTGCTACAGGGGGAGGGAAAGTGGTTAACAAGAATTCAACTACAGGTGAGTCTAAAAAGGTGTCCAGCAGACGGTTGAATATAAAAGGGCATTACCTAACAAAGAAAACCCCTTTCCATTTCATGCTGTCAGCAATGGCACCACATGGAAGTGAAATGTCACAAGGCCTGAGAAATAAAATATTTTCTTTACACAAGAACGGTGAAGGCTACAAGAAGATCAGCAAAGCTTTACTTATCAGTCACAATACTGTAGCAAAAGTGATACAAAAATTTAACAAATATGCAGCCATCTCAAAGAGATGTCCCGGCCATCCACAGAAGAAGAACAAGGTAAAAATGATTCAGTGCCCAAGTATGTCTCCTGATCTCAACCCAATCGAAACACCTATGGGGAATTCTGAAGAGACAAGTTGAGCATCACTCTTCATCCAGCATCCAGGCTCAAAAAGAGGTCATTCTTGAAGAATGGAAAAAGATAGATGTTGCAATATGTCAACAACTTGTTCACTTCATGCCTAGAAGACTTGGTACTGTCCTTACAAATCATGGAGGTCATACAAAATACTAGATGTAGTAGTTTTTGTTGTGGGGTGTATTCATTTTTGCATCATCTAATTTGAGTAAAACTGAAGATTCTGTAATCTAAGTTATATTATTAACCTTTCTTTCATGTAATGAGCTAAACAAATTTTGGAAATGGTCCTTGTGTTCATTGAGATATTGATTAAAAATCTTACTTTTAAAACAGGGTGTACTCATTTATGCTGTGCACTGTATACATATATATATATATATACACACAGTTGTATTCAAAATAATAGCAGTGTGTTGAAAAAAGTGAATAAAGCTCAAAATCCTTCTAATAGCTTTTATTTCCATACACACAAATGCATTGGGAACACTACACATTCTATTCCAAATCAAAACATGAAGAAAAATATATCAAATTTGTGCTGTTCCTCTAAAAAAAATTGAAGAAAAGTGAATATTAGACTGTTCAAAAAAATAGCAGTGTTTGTATTCTTCTTTACAAACTCAAACATTCACTGTATAAACTGAAAATGTTTGAAGATTTTGCTTTCCTTTGAATCACTTAATTAATATTTTAGTTGTATAAGCACGGTTTCTGAGAACTGCTGTACATCTGTGTTGCATGGAGTCAACCAACTTCTGGCACCTGTGAACAGGTATTCCAGCCCAGGATGATTGGACTACATTCCACAGTTCTTCTCTATTTCTTGGTTTTGCCTCAAAAACTGCATTTTTGATGTCACCCACAAGTTTTCTATTGGATTAAGATCCGGGGATTGGGCTGGCCACTCCATAACATCAATCTTGTTGGTCTGGAACCAAGATGTTGCACGTTTACTGGTGTGTTTGGGGTCGTTGTCTTGTTGGAACACCCATTTCAAGGGCTTTTCCTCTTCAGCATAAAGGCAGCATGACCTCTTCAAGTATTCTGATGTATTCAACTGATCCATGATCCCTGGTATGCGATAAATAGGCCCAACACCGGTAGTAGTATGAGAAACATCCCCATATCATGATGCTTGCGCAACCATGCTTCACTGTCTTCACAGTGTACTGTGGCTTGAATTCAGTGTTTGGGGGTCGTCTGACAAACTGTCTCCGGCCACTAGACCTAAAAAGAACAATCTTACTTTCATCGGTCCACAAAATGTTGCGCCATTTCTCTTTAGGCCAGTCAATGTGCACTTTGGCAAATTGTAACCTCTTCAGCAGATGTCTTTTTTTCAACAGTGGGACTTTGTGGGGGCTTCTTGCAGATAGCTTGGCTTCACATAGGTGTCTTCTAATTGTAACAGTACTCACAGGTAACTTTAGACCTTCTTTGATCTTCCTGGAGCTGATTGTTGGCCGAGTCCTTGCCATTTTGGCTATTCTTCCATTCATTCGAATGGTAGTTTTTCGCTTTCCTCCACGTCTTTCAGGTT